AAAATGTCATTTATAATTGCTCAGAAGATGAAATATTTAGTGTAAATCTAACAAAACATGTGCAAGACTTGATTGTTGAAAATTATAAGACAGCTGAAGGAAATCAAAGACATAAATAAATAGAAAGATATTCCATATTCATGGACTGGGAGCCTCAACATAGTAAAGATGTCAATTCTTCTTAAATTGAAATATAAGTTTAATCAATTCTTTTCAAAATCCCAGCAAAATTTTTATAGACACACACATGGTTATTCTAAAATTTATATGGAAAGGCAAAGGAACTAGAGTAACTAAAACAATTTTGAAAAAGAATAAAGTAGGAAGAATCAGTCTACTCAATTTCAAGATATTTTTTATAGTTATAGTGATTAAGACTGCATGGTATTAGTGGAGAGACAGACACATAGATGCATAGAACAAAATAGAGAACCCACAAATAGCCCCACACAAGTACAACCAACTAACTGTTAACAAAAATGCAAAAGCAATTCAAAAGAACAGTCTTTTAAACAAAAGTTGCTGAAGCAATTAAATATCCATAGTCAAAAAAATGAACTTATATAGAAACGTCTCAAATCTATCACAGGCTAAATATAAGATGTAAAACTATAAAACTTTTAGGAAAAAAAAAATAAGAGAAAATCTTTGAGATCTAGCAAGATCCATACATGAAAAAAATCAATAAATTAGACCTTGTCAAAATTAAAAACACATTTTTGTTCTGAGAAACAAGAGGATAAAAAGGCAAGCTACAGAGTAGGAGAATATATCTGCAAATCACATATGTAACAAATAATTCATTTCTAGACTATATAATGAATTCTCAAAACTCTACATTAAAAAAACTATCTAATTAGAAAATGATGAAAAAACATGAAGAAACATGAACTCACCAAAATAATATATGGCAAATAAGTACATGAAAAAATGTTCAACAAAACTACACTTTAGGAAATACGATTAAAACAACGAAATATCACTACACAACTATTGGAACAGCTAAAATTTTTAAATGGTGACAAACCAAATGGTGATGTGATATGAAAAAACTCTCTCTCATAGATTAATGATGTGAGTAGTTCAGCCACTCTGGAAAACAGTTGCAAGTTTCTTAACAAAACAAAATAAAACATTAAACATATACTTAACATACCGTTAGCCTAGCAATTGCATTCCTGGGCATTTAGAAATGAAAACTTATGTTCACACAAAAACCTGTAAACAATTGTTCGCAACAGCTTTATTTGCAATAGCCTGAAACTGGAAACTACTCAAATGTCTCTTAAAGGGTGAATGGTTAAACTGTAGTACATCCATAACATGGAATACTATTCTGCAATAAAAAAAAAAAACAAACTATAGATACATGCAACAACTTCGATGAACTTCAAAGAAATAATACCAAGTGAAAAAATGCCAATGTCAAAAGCTCACATATGATATGACAGCATTTATATAAACACTCTCTGATTGAGAAAACTGTAGAGATGGAAAACAGACTGATGGCCCACAGGAGTTAAGGCTGTTGGGAGGCAGGGGTCAGAATGACTATAAAAGGTGGCACAGGGAGATCTTCATGGTGATAAATATTTATATATCTTGATTGTAGTGGTAATTCCAAAAATTTACACAAGTGATAAAATTACACAGTGTATCAATGTCAAAATTCCTGGATTTGATATCACACTATAATTTTATAAGAGGTAACCTTTGGGGAAAATGAGTCAAAGGGCCACGGGATCTGTCTATACTTATTCACAGATAAATTTCTGTGAATTTATCATTTTTTCAGAATAAAAAGTATGAATCAATCAATCAACCAACTAAAAAATAGAAGGTGAAATAAAGATAATATCAGATAAAAACTGAGAAAATCTGTCACCAGCAGACCTGCACTAATAGAAATGCTCAAAAGAAATTCTTCAGGAAAAAACACCAGATAGAACCTCAAATCTTACAGGAAGGAAAAATATTATAAAGAGTAAATATGTGGATTTTAAAATGCTATTTTTTCATTCAGTTTCTTTACAAGGCTAATGACTTTTTAAAGCAAAAATTATAACACTGGATTGTGAGATTTATAATGTATGTAGAAATAAAATATATTAAAACAATGACACCAAGGAGAGGAGTGCAGGGTAGGTAGAGCTATAAAGTTCTTACATTTTACAAGAAGTAGAATGAAGGTTGTGTTTAGCAGACTGTGACAAGTTAAGGATATAATCACTAGAGCAACCACTGAAAATATAATGCAAAAAGGTATACTTAAGCCTATTGAAAATTAAATGGAAAAATAAAAATGGAGTTAAATGAAATACTAAAAAATATTCAGTTCACCCAAAAGAAAGCAGGAAAGGAGAAACAGAGGGTAAAAGAAAGGATGGGGCAAGTAGAAAACAAAAAGTAAAATGATAGGCCTAAATCTAACACTATCAATTATTACATTAAATGTAGAGAACCAAACACTACAATTACAAGACAGAGATTAGGAGACAGGGTTAAAGAGACACTCTTTAAACATAGAGACTACAGACAACTCGAAAGTAAAAGACCATAAACATACCTTCCATGCAAAAATTGAGCATAAGAAAGCTGCAGTGGTTATACTACTATAGGACAAAGTAAATGTCCAAACAAAGACTACCATCTGAAATAAAGACGGACATTTCAAAATATTAACATTTGTCAATTCACCAGGACATAACAATTCTAAATGTGTATGCATTTAGAGTTTCAACTACATGAACAAAACTGACAGAACTAAAGGGTGAAATGGACAAATTCACTAGACAAAAAAAAATCACTAAAAATATAGAATATCTCTATCATACTATCTTGGCCTCATTAATATTTATAAATCATTACTTAAACACTGCATAATACACATTCTTTTCAAGTGTCTTTGAAATGTTTGCCAAGATATGTGCTGGACTATAAAACAAATCTCAGTAAATTTCAAAAGACTAAAATCATACATTCTCTAACTTCAATAGAATTAAATTACAAATCCAACAAAAACAAGGTATCTTTAAAAGTTCTAAAATATTTGGAAATTAAACAACACATTTCTTTTAAAAAAGGAATCAAAGAAAAAAGTCACAAGAGGAAAAGAAAATATTCTGAACTCAATTATAATGAAAATACTACCTATCCAGATTTGTGGGATTCAGCTAAAGCAAAGCTTGGAGGAATACTGATAATTTTAAATGACTACATTAGAAGAGATAAAAAAACCTTAAAATCAATTATCTAAGTTTCAATTTTAAAAGCTAGGAAAAGAAATACAAATTAAACTCTAAGTGGAAGGAAGTAAAAAATAAAGATAAAAGCAGATCTATTAAATCAAAACAAAAAATAGAAAAAAATCAACAAACCCAAAATTTGGTTCTTTAAAAAGAGTTATGATATACCCCTAATAAAACTTATCAAGAAAAAGTGAAAGAAACACAACTTATCAGTATCAGGAATAAAAGAGGGGACATCGCTAGAGATTTTATAGGTATTAAAAATGTTAAAGGAATATTATAAATAATGCTTTGCCAATATCTTAGGAAATACTGATAAAAGCAGACAAACTCCTTGAAAAAACACCCCTTTCTGAAACTAGCATGATAAAAAAATTTAAAAAAAAACGAAAATCTGAATAGCTCTACATCTCTTACTAAAATTAAATTTCTTATTAAACTTTTCCTACAAACCAAATTCCAGGCTCAGATAAGTTTCACTGGTGAGTTCTATCAAACATTTAAGGAAGAAATAGTACCAGTTACATGAAACGACATCACAACATAGAAGGGGAGGAGGAAATAACTTCCAAATCATTTATGAGGCCAGCATAATCTTGATGCCAAAACCTGACAAGGACAGTAAAAAAACAAAAACAAAAAAATAGAGAGTAATATTCTCATGATCTTAGATGGAAAAACCTTTACCAAAATATAAAGAATTGCTATTTTTGCAAATATTAATGATTGAATTATAATTACTTGAAATATGAGACAAAACTGCTTTCAGTTTGTTTCCTTATACAGGAATCTCACAGGCCCTGACTCTAGCAGACCCCCACTCAAAAAATATATTGATGGTACAGAGCTGTACTAGCCCCTTTGGAAGGAAAAATAAGAAGGCACAGCCTGAGCCGTGATGAGCAAGGCCTTGCCATCAGAATGGCCTCCAAACAGTCTGTAAGAAACATATCCTCTGGACTATCCTTATCACCAGTATGAAACAAAGCTGCCAAGAGAACTGGTGAAAATTTTGAAAAACACATTAGTAAAGGATGTCAATAGATACTTGTTTAACTAATTGATCAATTAATTGGCCAATTCAGAATTACTGAGAAAAATCCTACTAATGGAAATTGCCCTGATTGAAAGCATGCTCCTTGGGTGGGGGTGTTACTGATAGTTTGGGCAGGACATCCCTACTGGGAGGGCTAAGTTACATGTTGTAAGATACTCACTGTCCCTGACTCCCAGGCCCTATAGTATATTGCAACCCAAGTCAATATGTCATCCAAAATAGAACGCATCCTCACATATTTCCACACTCCATTGGAGGGCAGTACTCCTGAGAATGGAGAGCCAACACTTGAACCAACGCATTTAAAAAACACTGGACTGCAGCATAAAGAAGGCCACATGGGAAAGCAGCATGTTCTCCCTAGAACTACACAGAGCTTTTGTTTTAATCGATGATCTCCAAAGGTTGCACATCCCAGGGAATAAATGCAAATATCTCCTACTTCATCTTTCAAAGAAGAAAGAACAAAATCAAGCATGACTAATATTTTATATGTGGATTGACAATTGTACATCTACATAATATACATATATTGAGGGTGCAAACTTTTTTATCAATAAGCTTATGAGATCAAAATAAGCACAGAGACTCATGGTTTTTGAGGGACCTTCAGAACCGACACAGCCTCCTCAGAGGCTAACAGGCGGGCATGCTGGTTGGGTTTCACAGCTAGCATCACTCTGTGAGTACTCTACCTTCGCAGTGTGGGAATCCAATTTGTGACAAAATCTGTTTCAAGGACAATTTGTTGCTCTTAAGCCCATGAAGCTGGAGCCATGCCTCGGACGAGATGAGACTCTGCTTGGCCATGTCAGTTTTGGTGTTTCTTAGTCCTTCCTGTTTCCGCAGCTGCTGCTCAGAGATGATAGAAGATGAACCTGATACCTCCATCTCTGAGTCAGGATCTAAGTCAAAGGGACCTCCTGTAAGGGCAATTGTCAGACTCAGACTTCCTGAAAACCTGGAAACAATCTAACATCACAAGAAGATTGGTTTAACATAAATTATAGTACAGCCATGGAGTTCTATCAGTTAAAAATTATAATACAGATGTATATTTGTTGGCAAAGAATATAGCCACAGATATTGCTAAAAGGTATCCATAAAATTCAATATCCACATTCACACAGAAAAATATCTACAAAGATATCTGCCAATAGGTATACAGTAGTTTTCTCTGAGTGGTAGGACTATGTGTGGTTTTTGCCTTTTCTACACTGCTTAAATTTCTGCATTATTTAAACATTTCTAAAACAGGAGTTACTTTTATAATCAGAAATATACAAAGTTCTTCCATTTTGGAAAATAAATGATTGCCCCTGAACCTTCATTACACATCAATATTCCAATTATAATCACATCTACCTTTTGCTTTCAAAGGGGATAAAGAGGACA